AACTCTGTTTTCTCCTCCACAGATGATGATAGTGGCATACTCGTTTAGGCTGAGTTCTTGAATATGGGCCAGTCCACCAACTCTAAGCAGTCCCGTAGAAGACCCTCCATTGCCTCAGGCCAGCACTACACTACTTTCTGTGACAACAAGGTGCAGGGCTGGATGAACACAGCAGGCCAAGCAGCATCATAGGAGCAGAGAGGCTACTTTCTGTACTGGGTTGTCATGCTTCAATTTCTGCTTGTAAACCGGGAGGAGGAGCACAGCGGTGTGGTCTGATCTTCCAAAATGAGGGACAGGGAAATGGATTGTCGGCATCTTTTACGGTCGCGCTTGCCCTACATTTAGGCCTACTCTACTTCCTGTCCTTAATCAAACCTCTATCCATGCTAACAAATTGCCCTCAAAACCATAAGCTTTTAACATGCCTGTCATGGTTTTGTGTGGCATCATTTTGAATGCCTTGTGTAAGTTCTGGTGTATCAAATCGACCAGATCCACTTTATCAGCATCACTAGCTACATCCTCAAAAGCACTGATAGGTTTTATCAAACAGAATTCCTCTCTGATAAAACCTTGCTGACTTTATCTGAACATGCTATGAGTTTTAAAGTTGTGTTGAAATAATTTCTTTTCTCAATGTATGTTCCGAAATTAGAAGCTGTGGTGAGGTAGTTAGCTGGTGATTATAACATTCAAGACACAGGATGTTTCAATACTTGTTACATTTGATCCTGCTTGGTAACAAGGGTAGATTTCTCTTGGAGTGTCTTGATGGGTCACACAAATCAATTCAAGGATCAGTGAGTGGTAATTAAATAGTTTGCCAGTTCTGTTCAATGAGAAATAGGAGCATCTATCAAAGAAGGTTGGTTGATATATTCATATTGCCTGCTTCTTTGACCAAGCTTGAGTTCTGAAGATGAGTCATATCAGAACTCAAAACATTAACTCTGTTTCTGTTTTTGCAGATATTAACAGACCTGCTGAGTTTCTCCAGCATTTTCTGTGTTTCTCCCAGTTGCTGTTTGGCAGCTCTGTACAGGTGGGATCTGGAAAAGCTGTGGGATCTATTTAGTGGCTCGTTGCTGCACAGAGGACTAAGGTTTCAAGTAGTTCTGGGTACAATTTGGTTCAGTGAAGGGTTAGAGCTCAAGGAAGCCTATGAGAGGTATTTATTTGGTTGAGCTTGGGAGACAGATGTTTCGAGAAAACTAAGGCTGTGCCAGTTAATTGAAGAATAATGAAAGAACCAGAATTGTGCTGCTCGTTAGATGCAAGAATACAGCTTTGTGAGTCCAGTGAAATACTTCTTAGGAGAAGAGGTTAAACCTCTGCACCAGAAGCAGCTGGAGTTGGAATGGCTTTTGAGGAAATTCAGAGGGTAGAAATTCAAAGGTGAAACTTTGAAATTCCTCATGAAGGCAAGACAGATTTAAGGATTGGCTCACAACAGTCGCTTACATTGGGAAAGGTTGCAGAGAAATCTGAGGGATCTGTCCTGACTGCCTCTGCCATTTGATGTGCAGGGAGATGTGTTTGACCCCAGTTTGTCTAATAATTTGCATTTAGTTTATGCTATTTCTGGATGTCGAGGTATAAGTTAGTTATTTTAGTGTGCTTTACTTTTCTGACTTTATATGGTAAAGTTTGTTTTGTTTTGTTAAAAAATATATAGTATATTATGGCTATATTCTCTTATATAACATCCAGGATTTCAAATTTCATATATTTTTAAGCAAGAATTTACTTGTCCCTAACAGCGTCACAACCAAACTTGGACAGGTGAGATTATAACAGGAATTTTGGAGATCTTGTACAGGATCATAATGCAAGTTGGCATTTTCATCTGAGAACATAGCAAGATTGTTTCAAATCTGATCAAAATGGCTGCAATAGGCTATTTGAGTAAGCAGTAAAAGAGAACAGTAAGGGTGCAGACAATGCTGCGCACAGGCCTTAATTAGTTTTACTGGCATTAAAATGTGAACAGATTTGAGATGCTTTATCTTTCCAGTTTCTTTTGATCGTGCAAATTCTCCCAATCATCTGTTGGAATGAAGAGCTATGACAATGTGTACAAATTAATGAGTGGAGAACATAGGTATGGTCTTGCATGGCTTGTTGCTGCTTCTCATCTAAAACCATGCTGTATGCTGTAACTTAGTTCCCTCCATTTTAGCCATCAATTGAAGCATATCTTTCCTCCATCCCTCCTAACCCTTCCCTCCCAGCATTTAAAAGATCACTTTGACAACTCAAGTATTTGGTTGTTGGAGATCATTTTAGTATGCGTGCACCCATACATATGTTTGGCATGTTAGCCCTATCATAAATGTGGGTGAAAGTGAAGTCTACAATGTACACTGTTCTGAAGTATCTGCACTCATAAACTTTTGGCCTGTTAGCCTTATCACAAATGTGGGTGAAATTGAAGTCTATAATGTACACTGTTCTGAAGTATCTGCAGTCATGAACTTTGAATCATGTGGCCCATATTAACTGCAACACTTTTATTTTCTTGTTAACACTGATGGCAAGTAAAACTTCTATCAGTCAATATGGTCGTATAAGAGAACAGAAATACGAATACTGTTTTTGCTGATTGGACTTCCATACCCCAGAAGACAGATTTGGATGAAAACATCTGAGTGTTCATATGTATCCACTTTTGCAAAGACGAATGTATCAAACTTAAAAAAAAACTCATTCTCATGTTCAGATCCCTCCATAGCCTCACTCTGCAGACTCCTCCAACCTACAACAGGCCAGGGATTCAGCATTCCTCAAACTCTGAGCTCTTGTGCATGTGTTACCACTTCCAGCCATTCAGGTCTCAAGTTCTGGAAAACCCTTCACAAACCACCTGTTTATTTCTCTCTTCATTTAAGACAACCTACATTCTACCTTTGATCAAGTATTTGATCACCTGACCTAATGTTTCATTCTTTGGCTCAAAAACACATTTTCATCTGAATACCTCACAATGTATTGCCTTGGGACATTTTACTACGTTAAGAATGCTATAAATGTCAACTATTATTATGTTGTTCGTTTTTTCTTTTGGATTACCTTTTTATGATCCTATTCCCTGTGCCAACAGTTTAAAACATTCACAGTACACTAAGCCAATAACCTTTTGATAAACATCTCACCAGACACAACATTTTGCATGCATTATTTTCATCTCTAGCTTCAATGAACTCCACATTAGTTTGAACCATGACTTAGGATAGGTGAACAGATTGATTTTAAGATTTTGAATGGTCTTCTAGTCTTAATCACTGAATCCAAGACAACAATGCTGCTATTTTCCTAATACTAACCATGCAGTTTCCAATTTGAATATTGTAAATATTTCTGCTTGGGTCATTCCATGTAAATTCTCCAGTCAGTAGAACAACCGTACAAGTTATGAAGGACACTTTCGGTGAGTACAGTTGAATATTTTCTGTTTTCATGTATCCCATTTTCATACTTACAACCTGTATAAAATTTGTTTGGCAAATCATTTATTTGCAGTGATAGTGTTCCTTTAGGTTGACGTTGGGAAGAATGAATTTTGTACTAGTATCTACTCTCAAGATCTATTTCAACTGGTAATGAGGCTGATATCATTAAACAAACAAAAAAGAAACAGTCTGTTCTTTCTTCCGCAACAGAATTACACTAGGACCATAGCCAGAGAAGATTGTGCTCTTTCTGATGCCTTTTGCTTTCTAAAAGCCTTCTGGTTGCAGAGGACAAAGGTTTCTTGCAGCTGTCAGGGCTCTTTCCACTAATCCTCTGCACTGTCGACAGATGACCTTAAGCATTCGCTGATGGCAGTTCAAGAGATGTTTACGTGAGCAGGAAGAGGGCAGCCTGACTGGCATTAAGGACAGCCCATGCATATTTGTGTCTCAGCAGCTTAAAGTACGTACAAGAAGGTGTGTGAACATCAAAAGGCAAAAATCACAATGAACATATTTTGGGAATCATCAAAATTATTATTTACTTTATTCAGAGAAACATGTCAAATTGGAAACTACCTCCAGCAATTCTAACTTAATTTCTCAAAATAGTTATTTGGGAGTACCTCATCGACCACTTTTCCTCTTCCGAAAGCAAAGAACTTGGGTTACTTGATTCTAAACCACTGAAGCCAATGACATAGCTCTCAGAAAATAATTATTTTTGTGCTTCGATTGTCATCAGCCAAAGCACTTTCAAGTGGTCTGTTACTAGTGTTATATTTTAAACAGCGTCACTTCACTGATTTGGAGTTTCTTGCCAACCTCCCTCTGCACAGTATGAAAAACAATATTGTTTTTTTAAAATTCATTCACGGCATGTGGGTGTCCCTGGCCAGGCCAGCATTTATTGTTGCTCCATAATTGCCCAGAGGGCAGTTAAGACTCAACCACATTACTGTGGGTCTGAAGTCACATGAGGGCCAGACCAGGTAAGGGGATTAATGAACGAGATGGGCTTTTCCTGACAATTGACAATGGATTCATGGTCATCATTAAACTCTAAATTCCAGATTTTTAAAAAATTGAATTCAAATTCCGCCATGTGCCATTGGCAGGATTCAAACCCATGTCCTCAGATCATTATTTGTGTCTCTGGATTAACAGTCCAGTGTTAATACCACTAAGCCATTGCCTCCCTTTGTCTAGAAGACAATGTAATTATGATTTACTAATTGACTGGTTATTGACAGAGCTATTTATTCATTATATAATGGAGGATCCTTTGGCTTGCAAATTATTACAGAAAGCATATTCATCACAAGTTTTGAGGTTTTAACAACAGAATTATTGGAGACAATCTGCACAGCAACTCCTAAAACCAAATTTCTGATGAAGGGTCTAGGCCCGAAACGTCAGCCTTTCTGCTCCTATGATGCTGCTTGGCCAGTTGTGTTCATCCAGCTCTGCACCTTGTTGTCCCACTTTTCAATCCTTGTGTGGCACCATTTAAACTCCACAGTGTGGTAAGTGAGAACACAAAAAGAGTATTGTAATAAATTGCTTTTATTGATATTAAAAACAAAAGTACAATGATTGTGAATCTTGTCTTTCTCTAGAGTCTAGTGTTGGTTGAGTGCACATGTTAAATATATGACATATTAGTTAACAGGAGAGTACACCTTAACTGTATCTGCTAAAACATTTTCTTAAAAAAGTAAAAAGCTTTATTTAACTAATGCAATTGCGGATGTTTCCCTTCATACTGGCTGATGCAAACATTTGACAAAAGAACTATGTTTTCTGAGTACTATTTAAATGATGTAATTTTGAGCTCATTTTCTTTTAATAAAAGAAACTGGAAGCTTTCCATTTTTGATGAAGCAACGGTGAATATAACGTGAAGTCACTCAAAGCAGAAGTGAATCACAAAACTGACAGGAAACAAAAGATGTTAACACAATGTGGGTCAAAAAGAAACACTAGAGATGAGCTGTAACCAAGTAATTGCACTTGATTATACCATAGCTGACAGCAGTGAGCATGGGTACACAGTGTCCAAAACAAGGCCTGAGGTTCTCTGGCTGAATCAAGGCACCTCACAGAGGCTTCCAATACCAAATTACACTCATATCAAGAGAGAACAGAGAGAGAGACAGACAGACAGAGAGAGAGAGAGAGAACAAAAACACATTTCTTTTCATTTTTTGGTACAAAGCATCTACGAAAGCTTTACTAGTACAAAATTAGACAAAATAGGATCTGTCTTTGCAGTTGCTCATCAGTGCTAAGTACATTATTTGGACCAATTTTCATATATATTTTACATAAAATAAATAATGCCTTTACGCAGTGCCATTACTTTTAATAGCTTGGCGGCTCAACACTGCAAGATATAGCTCAGACTAATTCCAAAAAAGATCTGACCCTGGACAGTAAGTATATGAGTTCAAGTATGTTTTCAAAGCAAAGCAAGTAACTACTATGAATAAGAAATAAAGTTAGTTGAAAAACATAGGAAAAAAATTATTACAACACTGCTGTTTCCCTTTGATTTTGTCTTTTTTTTGTGCCTTTTGTCTTCTTCTTGCCTATCTTGCACCGCCAAAACCAAGCTAATTTTTTTTTAAAAAGACATGTTTCCTAAAACGGAAAAGTTAATTTCAAGTTCTGTTTGATGTTCATGCATTTATCAAATCTCAAATCTTCGAGTCAGCTCTTTTGCTTCTCTTAAAGCAAGTTAGCACCATAATACAAGTGTGTGTGTGACCACACTTATTGTTTATCAGAAATAGTGCCATTGAAAGAAAAATAAAAAAAAAACTTGACGCAATCTGTGGCAATGCGAGACTGCACACACCACTGTCTTTAGTCCCTCACAGGTTCACCTAATCTCATCTTGTTTAAAAAAAGGTGCAGGATCTGGATGACACTAGGTATTCCACGAAGTGTTGATATCCCTTCTTGTATAGGTGCAGAACCAGCGAGGACACATTATCTAGAATGCATCACGTGACATTTGTATGTAAAATAAATTGTAGTCTGCGGCATGACCATTTTGGCCCAAACACCTCAGACACCACGACTTCTTTTGCCCAGCAGGTATCACTTTTACCAGGCTGCTTAAGCAACATTGCACTTCTTCACTGGCTGAAGGGGGCGGGGGTGGGGGAGGAAGTTGAAGGCAGGGAAGGAGGTCTAGTTGAGGGAGATGGGTGGGGAAGGGGGTAGAAAAATTCAGTTGGAATGCCACAGAAATGACGTCGTGTACAAAGCTATAATCCCCGACTTTATCTCAAGAAATGTGCAAAATGTTTCTTCATCATTCCTGACTGAAGTATTTCTTTGATGCCGCTGGGACTTGCAGGGGTGGCTTGACAGGGAGAGTCAGAAGTGGCTTGTGCGTTTTGACATACTGTAAGCTCTGGACTTCCTCAACTTGTCTCCTGAGCCTTTGGGCCATGAAACTTGGAGGAATGCCTCTTCGCAGACGCTGGGCAGACCTTTTTTGCCAGAAGTCATATTTGGAATACTTGGCAACCAGAGGCTTCCTAAAGCTTTCCTGCAATTAAAAATAAACAGCATTAGCAACGCTGCCATGTGCATTTTGTAACAGCATCAAAAGCCTATCTGATGTTCAAAACCTCAGACAACTGATAATCACCACGTCCCCATTGTTTTTCTGGCTTTGCACTGCTGGTCTCTGAGCAAATAGAAAATAAGAACCACTGCATGAACTATTGTTGGCTGGTAAACAAGGTTCTAAGTGAGATTGGAGGGATTTGCTTTTTCTTTTCTGAACATTGTGGGTTTTTTTTAAATGAAGTCCAGAAACATGTCTTTTTGAGAGAATCAGAAACAACAGATTACTGGAGGTTACGAGTTACTCAGTGAGTATAGGTCAAAGTCCAGGTAATGAGTTGATAGTTCCAATTCTCTCCCTCTCCTCATGTAATGTTCCAAGCTGAGAATAGAGCCTCCTGATTTCTGGCCTTCAGAAACTGCCAGCCCTAGTTTGTTGAGTACTCTGCTTTAGTTCATTCGTAATAGATCTCAAGTCTTATTTGTCCACAAATAAGCACAATTCTGTAAACAAGTAGAATAGTTGATATTAAAGTGAGAAGACACAAGAAGATTGTAATCATTACCATTGATAAATCTCCCCATACTACCAAAAAAAAAACACTCTGCGAATCAGCATTGACTGGAAATTTATCTGACCCTTCCACATTATTATTGTGGCTAACATCAAGTAAGTTGGCATTCCATGGTAAATGATTCACCTTCTGACTCTCTAGATCTTTTCCATTATCTGCAAGGCACAAGTCAGGAGTGTGTTGGAACATTTCCCACTTTCCTGGAAGGGTGCAGCTTCAACAGCACTCTAGAAGCCTCAACCACGTTCAGAACAAAACAGCCCGCTGGAATCAACAAGCCACCCGCCACCTTAAACATTCATTTACTGGTGCACAGTGATTGCAGTGTATCATGCACAAGATGCACTGTAGCAACTCATCAAGCTTCTTTGACAGCACCCATAAACCAGTAATTATTGAGAAGGCCAAGGACAACAATCACATGCAGACTCCATCAAATTCCTCTCCAAGTCACACATAATCCTCTCTTGGTATTAAATTGCTGCTCCTTCACTGTTGTTGGTCCAAATTTTGGAATTCCCTACTTGATAGTGTTATTGGAATACCTTCAGCACACTGATCGTAATCGTTTAAGGTGGCTACTCACCCTCACCTTAATAAGGGCAATTAGGCATGTTCGAAAAATGCTGGCCTTGCCAATGAGATCTATCTCCCATGAGGGAATACGTATATGAGAATAAAACTTTTTTTGCTGGTATTGAGTCATGCCTGAGTTAGTCTGATGGAGATCAAAAAGATAAACATGCTATTGAAACGAGCTTGGTCTACTCATAACCTGGTAGCCGATTATGATAATATGGCAGGTATCATCAAATAAAAACTCTTGGTTTTATATTAAACAATCTCATTCATCTTGATTCCCCTGAAAATTTTACTAGTGATTAAAGATAGAAGAAAAGGCATATATCAATAACACAGGTTTTGAAAGTAAAATGGCGATACTGTAAATCAGAGAGGGGACTGGGAATCCTGTGGCACAGTGCCAATCTCAGAGCCAGGAGGCCTGGATTCAAGTCCTACATACTCCAGGGATAGGTAATAACATCCCTGAATAGATTGATTAGAAAATAGCTGAATCACAGGGGAATCCACTTGATCTTTTCTACACTACAAAATTCCTCCATTAGGTGCATAGTTCAGAATTGGGATTAGTGCTGCTTGGGTTAAAACGTCTATGCTATAATACCTCATGTACACTAATGCCATCAACAGCACTGTATTAATATACTCAGAGTAAAAACTAAATGTAATTAAATGCATTCCACTTTTGTCATCTCCTGTGATGATGCAAAGTTCAGACTTTGCAAAATAGAACTAGTTAATTGCAATTAATAAATGTTATTAAGAAAAATGTCATGTAAACTTTAGCTGACAGTCTTATTTCAGCATATAATAGGCAATAGGGAAAACCAAGGCATGTGCTACATTTGCCAAAACATTGGAGGGCAACAAAAATGAGCTAAAGCAGAAGGTGTCCCTCTCAAATCTGCTTTGACTTTGTAGCAGTCTATAGTTATACAGTTATAGAGTCATACAGCACAGAAACAGGCCCTTTGGCCCAAATTGTCCATGCTGACCAGACTTCCTAAACTGAACTAGTCCCTGTCCTACCTATGGCTGACATACTCAAGTAGACTAAAAAAGAAATTGTTTCCAAAACATTAATAAATCTTACGTTTGGGAATGAGGTGGACAGGGTCAGAACCATTTTTATTTTCTATCTGACATCTGAAAGCAAAAGTATGCAACCAGTTTACAAACTAATCTAAGAAACAACCTACAGCAGGATTTGCACTGAGGTAAAAGGTTGTTCACAGCAAGTTGTTATATTTTTAAAGAAAAAGACTTTACTGATGAAAGCAGCAAGAAAACAGCCACATACCTTATTTGCTGATGGTAAAAGATTAAAAGGTGTTCCAGAGAGATCACGCTCTTTCTTGACTGGTTTTGCACAATAGAGTTCTAGAAGGCCCAGATCACAGCTGCGGAAGCAACATTCTTCGACTATTCCTCTATTCTGTCTGCGACTATTAGATCGTCCAGTCGCTCTACCTGAAAAAGGGGACAGAATTATTCATTTTTATTCATTTTTTTATCCCTCGTCTGTAAGAACAATCTCAGGAAGCTTCCAGTTTACATTGACTTTAATGTTGTGGAGACAGAAAAAAAATTGTGGATTTTGCCAAAAGAAGAGGGCAGAGGCCACTTGACCTTGCCAACACAGCAGAAAAGGCATGCAATGAAACAGAGGAGTCCAATGAACTATATGGCATCAACTGCAGGATCAGTAAAAAGATAACTTTGCTTTAGGTAATAGGCAATCACCTTTTATGTCAGTTCGCTATGAACTCTGTGCTCATGTTAGCTTTTGGAGTAGCTAAGGAACTGCAGATAGTGGTTATCCTTTTGGGAATCTCCCAGATGATTACATTCCTGTTCCTCAGGTTGGTGCAGATAGCATCACTTTCTGCTGTAGGTGCACGCAGAGAAGCACTTAAGCCACATTGTTATGAAAGAGTTGCATTTCCGTGCAAAGGCTTTATCTTTCTCTTAAGAAGAAAGGCCCCTCTTCACATTGTTATTTTCATCTTAACTGTATGTTCCTTCACTTGTGAAGATCTCCAGATGATCAGCAAGATAAACAAGAATAGAGGCATGTTGACACAAGACATAACTATGCTATCATCATAGCCAAAGTCCTACAAATTGAGGAATTTGTTAAAATCTAGCTGGATCACATTAGTCTTGAAATGTGCCCGATTGGCCAAGCACTGAAGATCAACTACAATAATTCAGGACTCTGGACTAAAACCATTGCAGGCAAAAGTAAAAAAAATTCTTTTTCCTTCATTCTACCCTGACCCTGCAACCTACTCCTTCCCTCTGCACAGTTCCAAAATCCTAGATCATTAAAGATGTGTTTGAAATGAAAGATGGAATGCTACAGCAGTATTTCTTTAATCAGAAGAATGTGAAAATAAACAAGCACTCCATTGTAACTATCAGCAGAATGGTTTAGCTTTGTGTCCTTGTCAGAGAGAAAGACAGAGAGAGAGAGAGAAAAAACACGTGAGAAAATGTGCTTATTCAGCACAATTGCCAGCTTAGAAATGAGTTTATCCAAGACCTGGGTTTATGACACTGGACACCTGCCTGCTAATTGTTCCCTTTCTCTATTGCAATGAGGTCTGTGGTCAACGAGAAGGAACCTTTTAATATAGTCGAGAGGTTTTCATTGTGCACTGGGCATATCGGATGTTTGTGGGAAATAGCACATTCTGTTTAAAGTTTCCTCAATGATTGGCAGCAAAGACTAATGACATCGTACATGAAGCTTTTTATTTATGGTTGAGGAAGTAGGGAGACCATTATAAAAACTATTAAGTTGTAGCATTTGTATTGACTAATTCTTCAAAAACATCATTCATAAAAGTCTGTATTGAAAGTTTTGCATATACAGTGAAAACTTATTTTTAATATGGTATCTTACTCCCTGGGAATCTTTGTCAGTATACTGGAGTTTGCAGATTTATTTACAGTTTTGCTTGAAGGCAATATTAACTTTCACAAACATGGCACTTCTGAGAGAGCCACAAGAACTTAGGAGGAAAGTTAGCAATCAGTTTCTCTGGACCCAGCCTCTTCTCTTAGCTCTAACCTAAAAAGGCTAACTGTTTACCTTTCACAAATCATTTCTAAAACCATTTGAAAGTCCTTACTTTAAAGTGCAAGTCTTATAATTGAGTGCAAATAACACCCACAGCTCTCTAATCTAACTCAATGGATACAATTATATAGGATCCCAGGACTGAAGAACAATAATAGGCTATTCAACTCTCGAAATATTTCTGCCAGTAAATTAGATCATGGATGATCTGTATCTCAATTCCCATTTGCCTGCCTTTTGTTTCAATCCCTTACCTCAAAAAGATTCATCAATCTCTGTACTGAAGTGTGCAGTGGCATCCTGGGGCTCAGAGGCAAAGTTTTTTGTCTTATTTTGAACCATTCAAAATACAATGATCCTGAATTTGGCATCCACATGCACATCCTGTTTGTTTTGCAGACTTAAATATTAGTGGATGTGACCCAAACTCACGAGAGTGAAGAATGCATTGACTTTAAGGAAGTCATTATCAAATGCCATTGTCACGTGATCAAGGTGCAAAAAAGCTGCAGCTTTAAGGAGAAAACCCCTTAGTTTGGGAGAACCCCCAAAATAGAAAACGAACACTTATAGTCTTGACACAAATCCTTATAATTGGCAACACCCACAAAACCTCAGGGCAGCAACTGGAGCATGGGCACTGGAATAAAAATTTAATTTAAGGGTCCTCCCCACTAATGTGCAAAAACTAATCATCAAATTACAAAGGCAACAGGAACATAAACAAGTTTTTAGTAACAGCAATTCGAACAATCACTCAGCAAGTTTTACATGTCAAAACATCTCTTTAGCTCTTTCCCTGAAGTACAAAAATGGTTAACTTACTAAAGTAAAATCCTCTTTCACCACAGACAAACTGTAGAGTGTCCACCAGCTCACCACCACATAGCGTTTCAGCTGCAGTCACTCCATCTATAATGTACATTGTGAATGCAATGGAAATGAACAGCAGTTGCCTGCACGGGGACATTTTTCTGCCCTGAAAAGGAAAGAGAAAAGTTAATAAGCAAAGCTGCTGCTTCACAATTAGCTTGAGACGCTAAACCAAAGATTCCCCAAACCACCTTACCATGTGCTACATTATTTTGACAAGAGTATAACATGCGTACAGCAATTTCTCATTAACAGCATTAAGGATGACAAAGGCTTTGTACTAATAATTGGAAACTGCCAACAAAAATACTCAAATCATAACCTTGATTTGTAAATTAGTCATGATCAGTTCTGCTCCAAACAGTGTCAAAAAAATAATGTTGTTACACTGACTCAGAGTTCAGATACTATCCTTGTAACATGAGCAGAATGGGAAATATGCAGTCCAGTATCTAGCTCAGCCAACATTAGTGTGTTGTCTACAAGTTTTGATAACATCAATTTGGTCTGCTACACTCAGGGTGAAACAGAAGAATAAAAAATGATTGCAATAAGACTGTTTTCTAGTTCCCAAACTCATGTTAACTGGTTCAAACAGGGCTGATGTTAATTCGTGAAATAGTGCATTTTCAAAAATAAACAAAAACTCCTACTAGCTGCTGCAAGGTCTCATGTGCTGGTCTATGACTGACGCCTAAGTCAAATCTTTTGAACAGTAATTAAGCTGATTTTGGAGCTGGTAAGCCACGGTTACAAGCACAAAAATGCAATCTAGGGCACTGTCCACGGTACCCAACCATGGTGTTGAACAGTGCAGCCACCTTACATGAGTGATGTTTCCCAGTACAAAACTGGAATAATAGGTGTGTGTATGTGTAAATGTGTGTGTATGTATGTGTGTGTGTGAATGTTGCAGTGTGAGGGTGCTGGGAAGATGAGGGTGCAGATTATATCAATAGTTGCATTGGCAACAGGTTACATTTTGGGTTTACAAACTGCCAACATTCAAGGTCAATCTGCAAGATTTAATTCAATTTATCTGACCTTTCTATTTGAATATTTCCCCCCCCAAAAAAATGAAGCTTGGCTGAAGTAACATAAATCACCCCAATAAAACTTTTTTTTCTGAATGCAGGTAATATATTTCAAATGCTTGTTTAGTTAAAGATCTGAGTGTAACAGATAGTTATAAAAAGAAGAAAAGCTGTTTCAAAATGTATGATTTTCAGTTTGAATTTAGATCCAGGTCAGGTTCAGGCAGTACAGTATTTACAGACCCGTCATTACCTACATTATTTTATGCTTAAATGTCTAAGAAAAAAATACGCCCGTGTCCTTAGAGCCTGTCATTAATTATCTCAAATTTGGTTGACAGCATAAAGAATCCCCCACTAATTAAATTTGCTCTTTCAGATTTTTGTTTAAAATGTTGCACTGAAAATGACATTAATACTGTCTCAGTAACTCAGTGCACGAAAACTGAACCACACGCCTGAGCTCTGTGTGTGTGTATGTCATTCACAGAAATAACTGTACGATTGGATTTCTTCCTTAATTCATAAAGACCGATGTTCTTGGTAAAAAAAAAGGTGTCCAAAAACAACTTGCACAGTTTTAATTCCTTTAAAAGTTTTTTTTTGTAGAAGGTTAATTATCTCTAGGCTAAACGAGATCGTTGTTTGATTTTAAACGGATATCATTATAATGATGCATCAGCAATCTATTTCCTTGGGTTAAGGCTATTACAGTAAAGTCAAATCAGGCAGTCGAGCAGCACGCAAGCAGAATACTAACGCTACCCAGTGGAACACACTGGGAACCTCATCTCAGAACAGGCTACAAACAGCAAACATGGTGCAAAACAAGAAGTAAGGGCACCGAATTACACTCTCTGTGCTCAATCCCAGCGCTGGTATTATTCTCGATGCACTTCACACGCAAACTACCTTTGTGTGTGTGTGAGTGTTTTCCTCGTTTTTGTAATACGACTGAAACACCTTTGAAAAGCTGCTGCTAACGTGTGCGTGTGTGAGGGGAACAATAGTCGAAGGAGCCGGTAGAACTTTTTCGCCCAGCGTCTTTCAGTGCCAAAGAGTGTCCAAACATGCACTTTTTTTTAAATGAAACAAGAAAGTCTCCTTTATACAAACAAATTTAAAAAAAAAACAGCGTGAGGTTGCACACCGATTCCCTGTACTTATCCCCCTTCGAAAACAAAAATAACTTGTCCAACAATGAAAGTGGCTGAGGAATAGTTGCAACTAAATATATCTGGATGTTATCCCTTTCTCATTTTAAGAAGATTGTCTCCTGCCCCCTTGCAAGATCTTAAAGCCAGTTTCTGCCTAATTGCTTGTTACCTTAGCGGAGTTGTCGTTGCAGGCTGAGTCTGCACAGGTCGGGCACAGAGCTGGGTACTTGGGATCCATTGTACGGCGTTGTTGAAGCGGAGGGGCGCTTTTTTTTTGCCCAGCTGAAGTTCCTTTAACCGCTGCTCCAGAGTTCAGGAGACAGGCAGAACAGAGCTCCCGCGCTGCTTATATAGCCGCAGCGTGAGCCGCTAGCACGCACACTCCAGGAGGGCACCGCCGCTATAGCAGCATTTGGCAAAAGCTGACCAACTCCGTCTGCACAAGCAGACCAGCACTTGGCTTCTTCTAAGACGCTGCAATAAATGGGGCTTTTAAAATAAATATTGATGCAATTTATTTCTTTGAAAGGGCTTTTTTCTCCCACCACCATTCCCGCCCCCTCACCCTCCGTTATCGTGAAAATGTTATTTGTTTTTTTTGCATTGTGCATATTCCAGAGCTTTGCTTGTGTCAGAACTGCCATGCTAATGATGAGGAGTGTTAATCCTTTTGAGATAAAATAAGGGTAATACTTTTGATGCTTTAGAATACAGCCGCCACACACACACACACACACACACACACCAAAAAAAACCGATTTAAATTAGGTCCTAATCCATGACTCATTACTTCTGACACTTTCAGTCCTGTTGACAGGGTTTGACAAAGGTAACTAAACTATTACTAAGGCAAGAGAGGAGTTCATGAGGATGGAAAGCAGGAAGGGGATTATTGGGATAAATTCCTGCGTTCTCTGCTTTTCATGAAAAATATGTTATAATTGATGATTTTCCATCATGGAATAGACAGGGATTGACTTTTATAGGGAAAGGCATTTTTAGAGAAATAAACAGGATTTGAGATAGATGACATCAAAATTGGAAGTGCAGTTGACAGCAAAGAATGTTACTGCGGAGTACAACAGGACCTTGATCAGATGGGCAGAGGAGAGGCAGATGGAGTTTATTCTTTATTCCTTTATTCATGGGATGAGGGTGTTGCTTTTAGGCAGCATTTATTGCCCATCCTAGTTGCCCAGAGGGCAGTTGAGAGTCAATCACATTACTACGGGTCTGGAGTCACATGTAGGCCAGACCAAGTGATGATGGCAGTTTCCTTCCCTACAGGATATTAGTGAACCAGATGGGTTTTTTTCCAACAATCAGCACTGGATTCATGGTTATCACGAGATTCTTAATTCCAGATTTTTTTATTGAATTCAAATTCCACCATCTACCATGGCAGGATTCAAGCCCAGAACGTTATCTTGGTCTCTCGATTAACAGTCCAGCAATAATACTACTAGGCCATTGCCTCTCCTCGTAGATAAATGTGAGGTGCTGCATTGTGAACGGGGCAAATCTGGGCAGGACTTATATACTTAATGGTGAGGTCCTGGGGAGTATTGCTGAACAAGGAGACCTTGGAGTGCAGGTTCACAGTTCCTTGAAAGTGGAATTGCAGGTAGACAGGATAGTGAAGAAATCATTTGGTACACTTGCCTTTATTTGTCAGTGCAGTAGAGTGTAGGAGGTTATATTATAGTCATAGAGTCATACAGCATGGAAACAGACCTTTCGGTCCAACCAGTCCATGTCAAACATAATTCCAAACTAAACTAGTCCCACCTTCCTGCTCTTGGCCCAAATCCCTTCAAACCTTTCCTATTCATATATCCATCCAAATGTCTTTTAAATGTTGTAATTGTACCTGCATCCACCACACAGGACATTGGTTCAGCCACATTTGGAATACTATGTGCAGTTCTGGTCTTCCTGCTATAGGAAAGATGTTATAAAACTTGAAAGGGTTCAGAAAAGATTTACAAGGATGTTGTGGGGGTTGGAGGGTTTGAGCCAAAGGGAGACACTGAATAGGCTGGGGTTATTTTCTCTGGAGTGTCAGAGGCTGAGGGGTGACCTTATAGAGGTTTATAAAATCATGAGGGGCATGGATAGGGTGAATAGCCGAGGTCTTTTCCCCAGGATAGAGGAGTCCAAAACTAAAGGTCATAGGTTGAGGTGAGAGGGGAATGATTTAAAAAGGGACCTAAGGGGCAATGTTTTCGTGCAGAGGGTGGTGTGTGTATGGAATGAGCTGCCAAAGGAAGTGGTGGAGGCCGGTACAATTACAACATTTAAAAGGCATCTGGATGGGTATATGAGTAGGAAAGGTTTAGAGGAAATGGGCCAAATGCTCTCAAATGGGACTAGATTAATTTAGGATCTCTAGTTGGCTTGAATGAGTTGGACTGAGAGATCTGTTTGCATGGTGTATAGCTCTATGACTCTAGGCCTTGATATTGATTCCCCTGTCATGAAGGTCTAAGGTTAAAAAAATAGACATGTGGAAGGTCCTGGTGACCAATCGTGCATGCTCCCCCCACCCGCAAACCCCTACCCTTTTTTCCTACAGCACATGTAAAGATGGCTGAATAGAGAGATGGGACTTAGTTCACATATTTGAATTAGGTATTCACAACGCAATTGAGGGCTCAATTAGAGGCCATTATTTCACATGAGTTTCCCATGAGTTGGCAGCCTGAGCTGTAAATGGATAATGGGAACTACCAACAATTCAAGGTCAGAATTCTTCTGAAGATCCCTTGTAGATCAAGAGAAGCAGGAGTGTTAACCTTCTCCCAAGCCATTCCAAATATTCCATCACTGCGCCCCTCCCATCATGCCTCGCCCCTCCCTCTGATCATGTTTTTTCTCCCTGTTTTCCAATCACACCTTCCTCTCTTCCCTTCCAGTTGGCGACACACACTCTTGCCAGTTATGACTCCTCTTGGCCCAACCCACTTTCAATCACATATTTCTGTCTCTCCTCCCGATAGACAACATCCCATCCCTTCCAATTTTAGACTCTCTATCTCTCCACTTCCTACTCCCAATCAAACCTCCATGCCCTCCCTCCTGATTACCAACAGCTACCCCTGCCAGTCATGGCCCATCCCTCCCCAGCCTATCCAGGGTGGGTTTGGTCTAGTGGTGTTATTGCTGGTCTATTATTCCAGAGACCCAAGCAGTGACATGGGAACCTGGGTTCAAACCCCACCATGGCACATGGTGGAATTTGGATTCAGGTTTTAAAAAACTGGAATTAAGAGTCTAATGATGACCACACAACCAATCAGGAAAAATCCATCTAGTTCTCCAATGCCCTTACCATGCCGCCCTTACCATGCCATCCTTACCTGGTCTGCCCTAAATGTGACTCCAGACTCAAAACAATGTGGTTGGCTCTTATTGGCCCTCTGGGCTAGTATGAATGGGTAATAAATGCTGACTTGGTCCGTGACACCCTCAACCTGTGAATAAATGAATTAAAAAAGTTCTGCTTGCTGATCTACTCACCTCCTGATTGTCAGGGATGCTAAGGTTGGCAACAAGGATGTTCCTGACATTGGATCCTCTCTCCATCCAGGCTGCCAGTTTAGCTGTTGGTTGGGAAACTGAAAAGGAAAATGATAAGGCTGTCCTGATAAAGTTTGGGCAGGACATCTACATCCTTATTGTATTTCTTCAACTATTTCTGGCCTCAACTTCCTTCACCTCCCAAAAAACATTGCAGTTAGAGGGTTTTGTTTGTATTTTAGCAACTTTTGGCCAATCCACTTAACAAAGAATTTAAATCTATATGAATGGCAAGCCTAACTGTGACTCACTCTTTCTCTCAAACTGTACAAGTACCTTACCTCTCATTTTTCTTGCTGTTTGGCCAATAATATAGCTTACTCATTGAGATAATTCATCATAGTGATATTTTAACAAGGCTATTAATGTGTTTACTACAGTTTGCTTACAAAGTGAACAGCAGTCAAGATCCTGTTTTTGCTAATTAACTGTGATATTGAGGCACCAGAGATTCTACAATTGGCCTCAACGTCCCAGGATAGGGAGTGGGTGGGTAATATCTCACAGAATTCCCTGCTCCTAATTGTTATCCAGTGACTCCTGCTGGAAATTTGCATGTATGGCTCCCAGTCAATAGACACCTCAAATTTAATATTCTTATGCTTGTGTTCAAATCCCAACCCTATCGATCTCTGCCAACTCTCAAAGCCCTCAAACTTTCTGAAAATTCAGCATTCCTTCATGTCTAACTTGTTGTGCACTCCCTGCTTCCTTTGCCTCATTACCAAAGGCTGTGCTTTCATCTATCTAAGCCCTGAGCTCTGGACTTTCCCCCTCAACCCACTTTTCCTCTCAACCCCTCTACTTCTTTACAGGACTACATAGCGAACTATCTAACGGGATAGTTGGCCATCTGTCCCATTTCTGCTTCCTTGACAAGGTATCAAAGTTTGTCTTACAATATCCCTGTGCTGTGACTTGGAAAGTCCCACTACATTGACCAAATAGTATAGATGTGCAAGGCGTTACTTTTGCTGCTGTGTGTGCACAAGGCACAAGCAGGATTGGGTCTAAGTGTGACTTGAATTACTAGCCTTTGAAGGTGTCATGTAGAGAATGTAGAGATTTTAAAAATATCTGGCATATGTGGAGATATACCCCAGCATCTTCAGGTATTAAGTGAAAATCTAGTAAATGAAATGAACAAAGTATCTTTCTATTTCCTCATTTCAGTACTATACTTTTTTAAAATAAAAATATCTTTACTGAAGTACCCCAGAAATCAAAAAGAAAATGGCCTTACTTCGAAGTAGCACAAGTGAAACTGGTACGATAAAGGTGATGTGGGAGTTGTCTGTGATCTGACTGAAATTTATTAGAAATGTGATTATGCTACAACTTAAACAAGACTACTGAACTTTAGAAAAATTCCAACTATATGATTTACTAATGCTAATAATCAGACAATAAATAAAAAAAAGTCCTCCATTTATAACCACACTTCATGGCCGAGAACATCCAAAAGTGTTTTACAGTGATTGAAGTAGTTTTTGAAGGGTCTTCACTGTAATTAAACAAGTTTCTGACAAGTTCAGCAACATTTGGAGGAATAGAAAGATGTCAGTGTTAAGATCATTAAGATTCTTCCTGAACCACTTAGTGCTATTTTACATCCAATATAATATTATTACTTCATCATCAGTAATTTAGTATTGATCAGTAAAATGATAACTTTTATTTTCATTTATAGATATTGTTACTCACTAAACATTCTTCAGCCAAATGGTGCCTCATAATGTGTATTTGTTGTCAACAGCAATCACTT